AAATGTTAATTAGCAGGAAATCATTCCCAGTATAAAAAATCATCCATTTATAACACCTCGCCCAAACGAAAAAAAAATAGGACATCTGGATTTGGGACGTCCTTAAAGCCAATAACTTTTCTTTCGATTGTCAAATTTCAATAAATTTATATCGTTGTGTAGGGTAATGTTTATTCTATCCCAAAACTCATTATAAATTGATGAGTCATATAAAAAAGGAATTGATTTCTCTAAAGGCAAAATAATCAAATCAATGTGAATCTTAATTTTAAGTGCAACAATGGCATAGAAAACTGTACATCTCCAAATAACCGCAAACACAACTTGGTTGGTATGTTAATGTAGCTTTTGTTTCTGTTAAAGAAAAAAAAAAGATCATGTTACTAACAGATATTTTTATTTGAACTTCGCTAAACGCAACACTTTTTAATACCCCGACCCAAACCAAAAAACGAAAGGTGGATTTCGGGGAAGGAAAACCTTAAGGCTAATAACATCTCAGTATCTGTCTATATTTCTTACATTGAGGTATTATGTACACTGTTTATATTATTCGGACTATTGTACACATCTTTGTCGCCATATTTATCACAACGTTTCGACAAGGACACATAGCACGGTGGATAAAGGCGCTAGTTACATCCAGTGACAGGACCCAAAGAGTGTGAGTTCAATACCTGGTTAAGGCAGTGGAGAACTTTCAGAGGTGAATTAACAGGAGATAAACGACATGCATTAGACATGGCACGTGGAACTAGAACAGTGAACGAAATAAAGGGTTCAGTTGGACATTCCAACCACCGCAAGAAGGCCGGAGCGTACATCAGCCGAAACGTTGTGATAAACATGGCGACAAAGATGAGGACAATAGTCCGAATAAGGTAAATAGTGTACATAATACCTCATCTCAGAAATATAGACAGATACTGAAAGGCCGAAACGTTGTAATAAATATGGCGACAAAGATGAGGACAATAGTCCGAATAATGTAAATAATGTACATAATACCTCATCTCAGAAATATAGACAGATACTGAAGGATATTTACCTTAAACAAAATCGTAATAAATATGGGGACAAAGATGAGGACAATAGTTCGAATATTATAAATAGTGTACATAATACCTCATCTCAGAAATATAGACAGATACTGAACGGCCGAAACGTTGTAATAAATATGGCGACAAAGATGAGGACAATAGTCCGAATAATGTAAATAGTGTACATAATACCTCATCTCAGAAATATAGACAGATACTGAACGGCCGAAACGTTGTAATAAATATGGCGACAAAGATGAGGACAATAGTCCGAATAATGTAAATAGTGTACATAATACCTCATCTCAGAAATATAGACAGATACTGAAAGGCCGAAACGTTGTAATAAATATGGCAACAAAGATGAGGATATTATTCCGAATAATGTAAATAGTGTGCATAATACCTCATCTCAGAAATATAGACAGATACTGAAGGATATTTTCCTTAAACAAAACGTATGAATATGGCAACAAAAATGAGGACAATAGTCCGAATAATGTAAACAGTGTAATAACATTTCTTTGGATATTCTAATTTCAGTAATTTCAATTGCAACAATCACATAAAAATTTATGTACACCCCTGAATTAAACTTATTTGCTATTTTTCTATACCTTTGTGCCCTGTTTAAAAAACAAAAACAAAAAAAAAGAACAGTTTAGAAACAAATGTTTTTATTTCATCCTCACCAAAAGTATCAGCTTTTAACACCTCCCCTGAATGCCATACATAATTTATATTTGTGGATAGGAAAGAATCTCAAACCAATAAATTCTCTTCGGAATAACCAACTTTTATTAAACTTGAGGTTATTTTGTCGAATGATTATAGCCGTATTATATATTTTATTACGGGTAACAGTTTCGAATAACACTTCAACTCTATGCAGTTTATTTTCATAGAAAAGAAGAATAAAGAAAATATCCGAGTTAGGACTTGTGACTCTAACAAACATGAATCGCTTTTTTCTTTTGCGTAGAAAAAAACAATATAATTGTAACCTTGAGTTTGTTTCCTCCCGTGTGGAAAATAGTGAAACAATGTCTTAGTATAAAGTTGATATCCCGTTTGTTAAGAAACGATAAGCTCTGCCCTCACAAATCAGAGTCACTTTATAGCCATCCAGGTTTTAAAGAATGATTCACTACTCCATGTCAAGGGCAAAATCTTTATAAGTTGTTCCTTATTCGCATCATTAGAGACAAAGGTTCTTCAAGTCTCTCTGACACTTCCCTCATCTAACAATGCGTTTTTCTCCACCACTACTATTTCTTCGTTTAATTCCTTAATATTAGAAAACACTTTTTTAAAGCTATTTTTCAAATAACTTCCGAGATTTCATTAAAATGTTGTAGGATCTCTTTCGGAAAATGAAAGATTGCATTTCCATCTACGATTACTAAGCAGCTTTCTGAAGTTTCTGGAAGTATTCCATCGTCAATCTCCTTCGCATTGTATAGAACGAACCCCTTTTGATTTGTAACTTTTGATTAAATACAGTGTAACCCTGATATAAGAGAGTTGTCGGGACCGGAGAAGAAGTCTCTTATATCCGGGTTTCTCTTATATCCGGGTTTGGTCTATTTTGTTTAGGTAAGTATGGCTCTAATTTGGGACCAGAGAAAATCTCTCTTATATCCGAGTTTCTCTTATATTCGGGTTACACTGTATTTATCTTTTAAATCGCTCATCAGGATTTTTTAGTGTTTGCTATATTTTCACTTATCAAATCATTTATGTGAAGCATGAAAACACATGCCGGTCCTGAGGTTGTATCAAAATTTCTTCTTTTCAGTGAATCCATATTATTAAATCATTGACAAATGACATGAAAAAAAAAACAAAAAAAACTTAAAATTCAATTTTTCCAAGGCATATTTTTTTAAAAATTGTAAATGAATCAGATTATAACACGTACCAATTATTTAAAAATTAGGTTATTCAATGTTTCTGCATCGGAGTTATAATACTGTAAAGCACAGCGACAAGTGGGAAGGTCGTGAGCTTTTTTAGGTCTAATTCATTAAGCACTAGTAGCATGACACGGCGTTGCCCGTGCTTGATTCAAAAATCGTACGACTCATACAGCAATCGCTATCACTTGACTTAAAATATTTTTGCCCATCCGTGCCTTTAAAGGAGTGCCCTTTGCCGTGCTGATGTTGCTACATGCCTTACTTCTTGCCTATCTCACACTGCAAATTTTTTCTGAGCTCTATACTAAACATTAAATCTGTTACGAAAAAAGAATTAAACAAAATGAACACAAAATGATCAGTTTTAAAAAAGGACTCGTAACTGGAAAAACCGAATGAAAAAAGAATGTTAACAACAAATACTTTTTCACATCCAACCCAGTTCTGCGGAATCAGAATCAACGTTGAGTTTAAGCAAGCGAATGAGCCAATTGGAGTAAAGTGCCATGCAGATTTAAATTTTTCCCACTTGTGACGAATGCAGCTATCGATTTTTTTTGCATGCTAGTTAACATTCGTGTCAGTCAGCTATTGGCTCTCACTCTGGCCAGTACAAAATGGCCGTAAACTACATGAAAACTGGCGTAGAAGCATGAAAAAATCGATTATTTCCACTATCGATGGGAGTTGGAAAATGCAAAGTCGGTCTTGGGCTTCCCGCATATGGGTGTAAATTTTTGGGAAAATCTGTCGAAAATTGCGGCCGTGCATTCGTTACACACACACACACACACACACACACACACACACACACACACACACACACACACACACACACACACACACATCCTGTCTTTTATAGATAAAATTTTTTTGGATAAGACTAAAAGGTGAAATGTTATATTTCCTTGCTGTTTGTATACTATTTTCGTATTCGATGATGTCAAGGATTTCTTTAAATGCTAGTCTTTAGTTTAAATAGCTTAATTGGTTCATCATGCAAATTGCTTCTTGTCAGTGGCCATTTTGTATCATCGGTAGTCATAAATGTTTCGATAATTTCATCTTTTAGCAAAGCAAACAACATTTTTAAATTCATCACGTTTACCCAATTGGTAACCTGTTCTTACTGCAGTATTAATGTCCATTTGGCTGTTAAACATCAGAAATGATTTTATAGAATGGTCAACAAGGCCGAACATTAATTTGTGTTTATATTTCATACATGTTTCCAATTTTCACAAAAGGTTTTCATTATGATAATTTGGAATTGCAAATGGTGTTTTATATATATATATATATATATATATATATATATATATATATATATATATATAATTATTTATTTAATAATTATAACATAAATATGTTATAAAATCATTACAAAAAAGCCATTTTGTTTCAACACCTTTGGTTTCTTATCAAGTGATGATGTTGAATGTAGATTGTAGAATGAAAGTTCAAATATATATATATATATATATATATATATATATATATATATATATATATATATAACTCACTACTAATATCCGTTTTGCTGTTTAACATCAGAAATGCTTTCATAGGCTGGTCAATAAGGCCGAACATTAATTAATTTATACATGTTTTCAATTTTCAATTAAGGTTTTCATTATGATAATGGAATATGCAGAGATCTCTTAATACTTAAAGTTTAAAATTTTTATTTTTATTATGATCTCTTGATCAATCGCGATACAGAGCTCTTCAAATGTTTTTTGATCGTGGTCTGGATGCTTTGATCTCCACAGATATCGTTTTTGTAGCAAATACTTACGACTGCAGTTCGGGTAATACTTTGCTCCACTAGAAAACAAATCAAATCCAGATATCCTCTTAATTCGTTCATAAACATTTCTCTCTTTTGAAACTGCTTCATTTGATTCACTTCTGCCTCGTTCAAACGTCATTGTAAGTTCAGTTGTCCAAGAACACTAGACACTGATGGCCTTTTACACTTTAAATAGTCTGGATGAAAAAATAATTTCATCTTCGTGATTCTTACTGAGAAATTTATCAGATTTACAGTCTTTTAAGGAATTCCAATAAATTCGATGTGATACCCCGTGGTGATGAGAAATCGGTTCGATATGATACCCCGTGGTGATCAGAAATATCACTTGGGATCTTTTTATAAATGTTAAGCATACGATGGTGTAGCCTTTTTTTCTGAATACTTTAATTCTTTTAAATTTTAAATCATCATCATTGTTTGGTATTTGCTACACACACACACACACACACACACACACACACACACACACATATATATATATATATATATATATATATATATATATTTGTATCTATAAAAGGATGTATAAACATGAAATGTCTTAAAATATATATATATATTTTAAGACATTTCACACACACACACACATATATATATATATATATATATATATATTTTAAGACATTTCATGTTTATACATCCTTTTTATAGATACAAGTATTTAAGTAAATGCTGTGTTTGTAATAAACAGTATTAAACAACATCTACCGACCTGAATGTCCGAGAAATTTTCACAGAAAATATTTGTCCTCCGACAGGATTCGAACCTGTATCCTATACAAATAATTGTAGGACTTTGTCCATTTCGCAATATGTGACGTCATATATATATATATATATATATATATATATATATATATATATATATATATATATATATATATATATATATATATTACTTTCTTGGGGTACAATATTTTATTATGGAAATAAAAATAGCAAGACTTTCTTTACCAATCATGATTAAAAGGAAAGTAGGAAGAAAAAAAATTGACCAGTCGACCGGTTTCGCCCTCACTCAAATAACACTTAAAGGTATTGGAAACAATCTATGTCAAGTCCAGGCAGCCCACCCTCTGTAAACAGAGGGAATGCCTGTCAGGACTTGATGAAGTCCATCTGATCTTTCCACCTTTATTTCATCATTAATACCTGAATCCAGACTCTTCAGGTATATTATCCGCTGCTTTCCTCCATTTGTCTTGACTTCAATCTGTCCCCATGAGTGTCAAATTTTCCAAGCTCTCTCTTCTCATTATGTCCTCTAGAAATGTCAGATTTCTCTTTCTGATTCTGTGTATGAGTCTTTTATTTTTTTGCTTCATCTTTCCATAAAACCTTGTTTTTTCCCAAATCTTCAGCCCATGGCATCCTTCGTTAGAACCACGATTCTCTTATCTCACGATATTATTCATCTGTAACGAGATTGTTCAGCATTCACTGCCAGATAAGAGGGCCAACATTAAATGACAGTATCAGTCTATATTTTTAAGATGAGGTATTATGTACACTATTTACATTATTCGGTCTATTGTCCTCATCTTTGTCGCTTTATTTATTATAACGTTTCGGCCGTTGTACACTCCGGCCTTCTTCAGGTAGTTGGAATGTCGAACTGAACCCTTTATTTCACTCACTAAGATGGCCGCCAGTAATGAGTGCTAGCAGGATTCCCAATTCTATCAAAATTACTCCACTGTAAAGTTTCAATAAATCCGGCGAGACGACACATCTTTGTCTTACACCCCTTTTAATTATTGTATATCTACTGAACTCATTGTCTGTCCGTTTGCAGGTGGGTTGCCCCAGTATAATTTCTATATTATTCTTATATTCTTTCCAAATAAATCCAGCTTACATAACAGTTCTTTTCCTTTTGGTGTACATTGACAAACGCTTTTGCATCATCTACAAAACAACCTTTCTACTGGATATTAAAGAGTTGAAAAATTAGCATTAGAATTCCGAGTTTTATACTGGGGCGGCTACAGGTATCTGTCACAAGAGAAGCATAGATAATTATCTCAGCTAAGTCACATATACGATTTTAGATGTTTCTGTATTTCGGGTTTAATCAATAACTCCATGTTGTTAACATTCGTTCTTTATTTGTCAGTCGATCCACATATCTATCTTCAAGCATATTTAAATGTAACTCCCCTATTTTCATTACAACTGTCAACATAGCCCTCGCCCCAGATGTGCAAACAGAGATCTATTTTTCAGTGTGTCTGGGTGTTTTTGTGCTGATTTGATTATGTGAATTCCTTTGTATATTTATCACCACACACACACACACACACACACACACACACACACACACACACATATATATATATATATATATATATATATATATATATATATATTATAAAACGGTTGGTTAGATGTGAGTTTGTGACCCTGGATTTTGTCTTTAGCGATCGTCAATTTTGTCTGACGATCGCAAAAGGAAACAAACTCACATCTATCCAATCAAATATGTTAGCTCTATCTCTGATATTGAGCGCTTTCTAATAAGTACCGCATATAATATATAAATAATTATACATATATATATTTATTTATATTTATATACACTTTCACACACACACACACACACACACACACACACACACACACACATATATATATATATATAGTTGTTATGCATCTATCTGCATTTCTGTCCATCTATATATGTATATTTTTTCTCTCTGTTTATTTCACCTAGTGTGTTTCTATCTATCTATCTATCTATCTATCTATCTGATCGAAGTAGCTAAGTGGTTTTGGCTACTATAGCCAAGTAGAAAACGGTAGCAGTAATCGGCTGGTAGGCGTCGTAGTCACAGGTAGGAAGTGTAGACTAATAGAATAGCCAATGGCGTAATCCAGTGGGCGTCGTCATAGACTTAAACTCTGTCGTACCTACACATCCGTCTGTATTTATGACGGACACCAGCCAATCATTTTTCAGTGAGGGGGAACATAGGTGTATGCATATTCCATTATATCATTATCTATCTATCTATCTATCTATCTATCTATCTATCTCGACCGTTCCTATCTATCTATTTATGAATCATCTGCTTATCTCTATAGCTGTTTATTGCTTTGAGTCTGTTCATATCTGTCTGTCTCTCTGTTTGTTTATCTTTCTTTTTCCCTCTCTCTATCTATCTATCTATCTAAATCTATTTCGCCCTTTCATATCTATCTGCATTTCTATCCATCTATGTATCTATATTTTGTCTGTCTGTCAGTTTATTTCTTTCAGTGTTTATATATATATATATATATATATATATATTATTTTATATAAAAAATTTAAAATCAGGGAGGTCAGTTGAATAAGTATGTTATAAAAATCAAAACAAAAATAACAATTTTATTTTTGAAAAAATAAATTAAAAAAGCATGTGTCTTGTCAAGGATGGAGGAGGAAAAAAAAAAGGAGAAGAAGAAGATGGGGGAAGAGAAGAAAAGCGAGGGTATTATAAAATTATCGATAGGGGTTAATTAAAATGTAATATGTTCTTAATAGGAATTTCCTAATATGTATGCAAGGACTCAAGACTCAGTTTTCTGATTAACTTTATATATATATATATATATATATATATATATATATATAGAGAGAGAGAGAGAGATAATATTAGTGGTAAATATACATACGTATGCGAAATATATAAATACCCATACATGTATATTTTTAAAATAAAAATTCCAAGAGGAAGAATCCTACAAATTGCTTTTGAATTTGTAGGTCTGATGAATTGGACTGTATTTACGATTCCAATGGAATAAATTATGACCATGGAATATTAGTGTTTAATTATATTTTATATATATATATATATATATATATATATATATATATATATATATATCTGTGTGTGTGTGTTTGAAAATACTGTAACAAACTTTGGGGGCGGATTCATGACACCATACAAAAAAACAATATAAAATCTCCATATAAACATATTTCTAAACGGTCATGTGATAAGTCGTGTGAGCGGATCTCGGTCTTTCTCGGTCCATATTTTGTGATGTCACGGATCTTGCCCTAGAAACGCGACCATAAACTGCAGCAAGGGTTGGATGACTCGGCTGCCTTCGGTCTGGAAACACAATCTGATACAGCCGTGCAGGCTCGCGTCCATTACCATTCTCGCGGCCGTTTATAAAAATCATATCCGCCAGCTCACGACATGGATATCTTGACATTGTTAAACGAAACACTTCTCATTTAACTCACTGCTACACAACGTAAAGCCTAGGTACAGATGTACACGAATGACAAATGTAAACTTGTCTAAATAGGAACAGGGCGCCATCTATTGTAAAGTTTCTTTAAACTTAATAACTCAAAAACAAAGAATTTGCAGATATATGTTTATATGAACTTTTGTCCGGATATATATGCGTATGTAAGTGTGTGTGCATGTCTGTTTGTGTATTTATGCAACATATATTTATTCAAACATGTTTCATTGAATAATATAGAGATATTGTGTTTATTTTGATACTGATCCGTTCCATTTATCCAATAAGTTTTTTGATACTAAGATGAAATTCATCAAGGAAGGCATCGTAGTTTCTTTTTTATTTTTTGAAATAAGTACTTTCCATCTTTTTCTAAGATCATCTTCAGTGGTAACTTACAAAGACTTATTGTAACAGCGATAAGATCTGCATTCCGTTATGATCGTAATTTTTAAAAACACTCTAGCTCTGTAATTATTTACATTATTCGGACTATTGTCCTCATCTCTGTCGCGATATTTATTACAAAGCTTCGGCCGTTGTACGCTCCGACCTTCTTCAGGTGGTTGGAATGCCGAACTGAACCCTGGGCTGTTTTAATTTTTTTTTTTTACATATTAATTATAAAGTTTTAAATCTTTTAAAATTCTAAAATTCAGCACCTCTGAGTATTTTTATATGAAGTTTGAATTTTGAAAAATATCCTATGGTCTTTTCTCTTATTGATTACTGTTGTAGAGTAGTTTCACAGTGGAGGCTTGTATTTCACTAAGTCGTTCCTAAAAAGGTTCGACGTACAAAACGTTAGGAACTTGATATAAGAGTTAATGACGCAGCAATCTAGTTATGGTGGTTGATACTTTAATATCGGATTAACGGTCGTCCGACATCAACTGACTGACCAACTCGATATTTAGTCACCCCACCACGAGGGCATCATGCGGCACAAGGCCGGTTTAACGTGGGATCTCCGAGCCCGTGGGTGTTAGACATTTTCATGACGGTCGTCCTCGAGTATAGTAACAGCTCCTCTTATTTTGGGTATATTACGGAATCTTCCTTCAAAATATTAGTAAAGTTAATAAATACTTTATTTCCAAAAATTTATATATTTTTTCTTTTTTTTTTAAACTTTTTCTTTTAAAGTTAATATTAATATGTAACAAATACTTTAGTATTCCAATTTTTTTATTTTATTTTATTTATTTATTTTTAAAAAAAAATTTTTTTAAAGAAAATTAATATCTACAAAAATTAGTCATATCACTTTGTCCATAGTTAAGTACTTTGGATTAAAAAAACATGAATAAGAATATTATAAGTTTTGATTGCGATCATAACAAAAAGTGAAAAGAATTGTTACTTTACCCATAGATGGGACCCATTAAAACAGTTACTATCACTCCGGGTCAGAGTGATCCAGAGAGTCACTAAAAAGTGAAAAATTGTTATTTTATCCATAGCTGGGCTCATAACCTATGTTAGACATTTTCATGACGGTCGTCCTCGAGTATATAATCCAGAGGTTGGCAGTGAATATTTCGGAGACAGTAGGAAAGCGTAGTGCAGGTTCGCAGCGGATATTACAGCAAAGTAGCAGAGCGTAGTTCTTCCGTCTGTCATGTTCGCCTGACATGTTGGCTCTGGTCATTCCAGTAGATTAAACAAAGATGGCCGCCTTTATACACGACGGATACAGTGTTCTGCGGCTTCTGATTGGTTAATCTTCTATTGGTAGACTATAAAGGGAAATAAGTCATTTTTACTCGCTCACTAGTCATACACATATATATCCAAAAAACCGTAACAGTGGGCTCAGCCAAAAATATACCCATTGAACCCGTATAAACGGGTTCAGGGTCGGTTTACCTCCACGAAAGAGAATCCGCCCTTCGGCGTAGCCTCTTTGGGTTCATCCCCGCCCGAAGGCAGAGAGTTCAACCGATCAGCCAGTCGACTGACTGACCAACTCTCTGAGCGACTGCTACTACTACTCCTACTTATTATAGTTGGGAGAGTCTATTAACGATAGAATAGGTGTGTTCCAGTATAACAATTACAGAAATATTTTAACGATAAAAAGTTGTGTATAAACGTATTCATATATTTATTTTAACATAAAATACGAGCGGTAACTATACTAAATTTAAAATTTATTGGTAATTTTCTAAAATTTCTACAACAAGCGTCTACGTAAGATAGACTATGAACCCATAAAAAAACTAAAATAATAAGAAAACTAAAATAAAACATAAAAAAATTAAAATAGATAAGAATAAAATAAAATAAGACCTAAAACAAAATAAAAAATAAAATAAAATAAAAAATAAAATAAAATAAAAAACCTAAAATAAAATAAAAAATAAAAACCTAAAATAAAATAAAATAAAATAAAAAATAAAATAAAAACCTAAAGTAAAAACCTAAAAATTCAATAAAGTATTCGATAATTCAGAATGTTTTCATAAATCTTTAAGATTATTGAGTCATCAAAAATTATATAAAAAGGCTTCCAAGTTGTATTCGTCAAGTAATTTTACAGTTATGTTTGGTTTACTTAAAATTACCAAACATTAATCTATCAACATCTCATAGAACACCAACATCCGTATTAAAAATTATCTTCTGCGATATTATGAAGTGAAAATATTATATGTTTTAATTCAGATAAATTAAACTTTAAATCAATTAATCTCATAAATAAAGGTTCAGAAAATTATATTTTATTTTTGAGAGATTTTTTTAATAAAGAGAATTACGTAATGTTGTCAATATGGCCGATTTTAACGATTTCAATTGTAAAAAATCCAATCAATTTAAATTAAGTTTGAAATGCAACAAAGTATTATCCTTTTCGGAAATATTAAATTCATTTTATTAGCTTGAAATTAAAATTAAAATAAAACTTCAAGAAAGATATTTCATTTCAAAAAGGTATGGCTGTTTTGGATCTCTCTCTCTCTCAATATATATATATATATATATATATATATATATATATATATGATAATCACCTCGAGCAATAAATATATACGAAGTGTAAACGATAAATTCACGATCCAACAGATCAGAAGAAATACGTACGCGCTTGCACACACACAGACACGCGCACACACACTCGCACACACACACACACGCATATATATATATATATATATATATATATATATATATATAAAGTTCTCGACAATAAGAATAGAACATATGTAAATATAAAAGTGGACATTGAGGTCAACACCCAGACAGACAGTCTTTCATGATAAACGCACATAGTCTGACGATTGCGTTTAGCATGGAACAGACTGTTGCCTCTGGGTGTTGACATTAAAGCCTACTTTCACACACACACACACACACACACACACACACATATATATATATATATATATATATATGTGTGTGTGTGTGTACATTTCTCAACCAGTACACCCTAATGCGCCTTGCAAACTCGCCAGGTGCGCCCCAAGGTATCAGAAGTGCAATTTATTAATTATTTTTATATATAAAGTCTTAATTCTTTAAAAAGCTAGGGATGCCAATCAGTTGACTTCCATGTTTAATCAAGTCTTTTTTTTTTTAATATTTTAAAACTCGATGCTAAATTCCTTAAACTTCAAGAAGGAATGGATAATGCTTTCCCTCTGGTTTAACTCTATGTCATTATCGGAAAGAAAAAAAAGAAGATTTCTTTTAAATTAAAACTGTAAAATAATTGCTTATTTCAAGAGAAATATAATAAACTTCTTTATTTTTTCCTATTTCCAAATTTGATGAATACATTTCCTAGTTGTGAAAGAATGAGAAAACAAAATTATTAAGGAAAGAGAACAATGAAGGGAGTAGATAGCGATTGACATTGCATTTAAATTTTTGGAGATCAAAGATGACCGGAAAGCATGAAGCATGTGGAAGAGAATTACACAACCAAGCATAGTGAGCTTGCTTTAAATTTAGTAAAATTTGAATAGAAAAAAAAACATTGTTTTAATCAAAAAGAGATTAGATAGCGATTGACATTGCATTTAAATTTTTGAAGATCAAAATTGGCTGGAAAGCATGGAGCCAGAAAAGAGTTCCACATGCAAGCATAGTGGGCTTGCTTAAGAATTAGTCAAATTTCATTACAGCTGCTGATAAAAACATAGTTATAATCAAGAAGATAGTAGATCGCGATTGACATTGCATTTAAATTTTTGAAGATGAAAATTGACCGGAATACATGGAGACAGAAAAGAGTTCCACATGTGAGAAGTGCTAGAAATTAAATTGTTGACAAAAAACGTACGGTTACATCTGGCCAACTCGACTGTTTATTGATGGAACGTTGTTGTCATTCTAATACTGCGCTTAAATTTATAAAGTCTAGGTACGGTGTTTCAAGCTAGGAAAGTTACTGAATGAGGAATAACTAAAACGGACGTTGAAAATGAAATGGTAATCTTTATAACATCAACAAAATACCATACTCGCCAGCGGCGTGAAATAGGTAAACCACTGATAGTGGTGGACTACTTAGACACTATGTTAATCCCAAACTTACAATAGTGTCTAACGTATTCATGAGCGTGTAAATTACTTTTTTTTTTTTACTTATCATCTCTCAGTTGCGTCTCTGTCCTTGGACAGAGTGAGTTCAGGTGCTTCTCTATCAAATGACAGAGGGGCAACTGAGAAAAATAATACTGAATAGGTGCGTAGCCCTGGGAAACAGCAGTCCGAGGCTGCGCGTTCCCACTGCAGCAGAGGGAGGAATCGGTGCTCGCACCGAGGCCAGTCCAACCGACGGTTGCGGGAGCTGAGGGGAATTTTTGTTCCTGTCCCGGGCATTCGCGCTCGGGTCCCCACCTAAAAATAGACCTTGTATCACATCTCGTCCTAGTGGGGGGACAGAGTAAATACCACGTATCTATGAGGATTTGGACATAGCCATTAGTGTTCATACGTACATAGGCATATAAGAAAAGTAAAAATCATTTACAATGCATTTTCATAGTAAAAATCATTTGCAATGCATTTTTATAGAAAAAATCATTTGCAATGCATTTTTATAGTAAAAATCATTTACAATGCATCTTTATAGTAAAAAACATTTACAATGCATTTTTATAGTAAAAATCATTTGCAATGCATTTTCATAGTAAAAAACATTTAAAATGCATTTTTATAGTAAAAATCATTTGCAATGCATTTTTATAGTAAAATCATTTGCAATGCATTTTTATAGTAAAAATCATTTACAATGCATTTTTATAGTAAAATCATTTGCAATGCATTTTTATAGTAAAAAATCATTTGCAATGCATTTTTATAGTAAAAATCATTTGCTATGCATTTTCATAGTAAAAATCATTTGCAATGCATTTTTATAGTAAAAATCATTTACAATGCATTTTTATAGTAAAAATCATTTACAATGCATTTTTATAGTAAAAATCATTTGCAATGCATTTTTATAGTAAAAATCATTTACAATGCATTTTTATAGTAAAAATCATTTACCATGCATTTTTATAGTAAAAATCATTTACAATGCATTTTCATAGTAAAAATCATCTGCAATGCATTTTTATAATAAAAATCATTTGTCATGCATTTTTATAGTAAGAAATCACTTACAATGCATTTTCATAGTAAAAATCATTTGCTATGCATTTTTATAGTAAAAATCATTTTCAATGCATTTTCATAGTAAAAATCACTTGCAATGCATTTTTACAGTAAAAATCATTTGCAATGCTTTTTTATAGTAAAAATCATTTACAATGAATTTTTATATTTGTTACAACATAGAAAGTGTTACTGAATGAGGAATAACCAAAATGGTGGTTGGAATTGAAATGGAAATCTTTGTAACATCAACAAAATACAATACTCGCCAGCGGCGTGAAGTTGGTAAAGAGCTGATAGCTGGAAATTTCCCTCTCCAAAAGGTAGTACCTGCTCCTATTTATAGCTGGAACAGTCCATGTGTGCGTGGGTAAATTACCATAAAAATCTCTACCTCGTCGCCAAGTTGTGGCCTTGGTAGGGCCAGAAATAAAGACACAAAGGAGGAATTGAGTTAAACAAATATATTAACAGAAACAGTAATACAAACATATACAAACGAGAGTGTTACAGCAAGAATGTTCAGTCTGACTGTCAGAACTGACTACTGGAAACTTCCCTCAAACCAAAAGGCAGTACCTACTCCTATTTATAGCTGGGAGAGTCCATGCGTGCGTAGGTAAATTACCATAACAGACAGATAGATAGATAGATAGATAGATAGGCACCGAATGATAAATAGACATTACATAGATAGATAGATAGATAGATAGATAGATAGATAAGAACTGAATGACAAATAGACATGAGATAGATAGTGTTGTGGCCTTGTTAGGGCCAGAAATAGAGACACAAAGAGAGGAATTGAGTTAAATACATATATTAACAGAAACAGTAATACAAACATATACAAACGAGAGTGTTACAGCAAGAATGTTCGGTCCGACTATCAGAGCTGACTTGGAAACTTCTCTCAAGCCAAAAGGCAGTACCTGCTGCTCCTATTTATAGATGGGCGAGTCCATGCGTACGTGGGTAAATTACCATACAATTCCATAACACTAAGTATAAAAGAACAATCAAGCGAAGTTGTTCCAATCTCTGACTCTTCAGCAAAGGTACAAGGAATGTGTTGTCCTGGTGAGGCACGACACTCTTCCGATTGTTCCATTCATTGCTGCATTCAACCCTTCTTACTTGTCTGGATTCAAAAATATGCTTTTGCAAAACTGCTCGTTATCCACAACGCCCTTCCAATTCCACTAAATACATATTATCACTTTCGGATGAAGATCTCATTTTAGGGTTTTCCACTGAATCTTTTTATGCTACATAATTTTTTTCGAACAACCTATTTACCATCGCCGTTGATCGTTGGGCGTGGTTGCGGATGAGACGAGGGTCATTGAAAAAAAATATTGCCCATGCTTTCCACTGATCGGTCAATGATCGCCCCACTCTGTGTTCCGAGTCTAGATCTCGTCTCGAAAGCTGGGAAAGGGTCTGCGGCATGTTCACAACGTAAGGCGACGAAAGAAAAACGCCACATAGAGAAATAATATCGCGAACACTGTTTCCCATATTATGCATGGAGATTTTATTTAGAAGAAATTATGTAGGTGAGGATTGAGGATTGGGACAACTTCTATGTCAGCTGTTCCAGTCTCATGCTCTATTTATTCATCCCGACCTGGTGGCTAGCAAATACGAAATGGAGCCGCTCGACAGACCAGAATTTTACCCGATCCTAAAACATGACTGTAAATATAGAACCACGATCACGATAAAAAATCCGTAACCCGTAAATGTAGTAGAGACACCTCATCTACTGAAGTGGTGATTTCTATGTAAGGCTGCCTGACGGAACCCTACTGTCTCCAGGCGTTTGAATTAAGAGTTTTCTTTCTCCTAGACTGGTTGACAAACATGGTTCTAGTGCCCAAATTGTCCTATTATCTACCCACAGCTGTGAGAAGAGATAGATTCAGACATTTTTAAAGAGTATTAGCACGTAAGTAGAGGCAATGAAGTCGACGGAAATTCGAAACCGGCTCTCCGATTTATCCGTATAATTATTACTTCACCTTGCCTCACGGGATATAGACTCGCTCTCGGTTATGCCCGATTTTTGGTTTTGTTGCCGCTTGATCGCCAAAACCATCGCGTTACTTCTGCGTTAGTGGGTAACAGTTAGAAAACCGAACATCAAAAGGAGCTATCTTCAGATCCATCAAATAGAAACACTTAAATTCGAGATAAAACCCACCTTATCCCTTTCTACGTCGGTGTCAATAGTATCACATGCGTCCCATTAACTTTTTTTCCTCCGACTTAAATCGTGATACGCCAAAATATCTTAGCGATTCCCGCCTTCAGGTCTTTCCAAATGAGAAATAGGTGAAGTGTCTGTCGTGTGAGCGGGATCATTTTAAATCGTTGATTTAATTTGGTCATTGTAAATTACTGCAGATCTAATGGAAGGTATTTAGTCTTCTAGATCAAAGTTTTCACTTCGAAGCCTAGTAAACCACATATAAAAAAGCACCAGCAGATATTTGATAAATATTGAAAATGTCACAAATCGTAGAGAAGGATGCAATGACATGTTACCTTTCAGTATATGCCCATGTCAAAAATATTAGACACGAGTGAAAAAAAATCAAATTTGCAAACGCCAGCCATTGAAAGACGCTACGGGTGTTTCTTTCAACGCATTTTATAGGAATTTGCCAAGCATATCTTAGATATGCCTCATGGCTGAAAGTAGGGGGCGCCCAGTAAGGATCGAAGTCACCACTCAGTCGTAATAGTTCTAGCGAGACAAGCTTGCTAACCATTACACCACCTCGCTGTGCACCCGACGCACTTTACATGTGTATAATTGAGTATTTCCATGACAGTTGATTTAAAATATGTATTTTCTTCAGGTACCTCTGTTTGATATTACTGACAAAATCAATTCATAAACTCCACTCTTTAAGTTTCTGCCCTATCTATCTATCTATCTATCTATCTATCTATCTATCTATCTATCTATGAGTGTATGTCTGTGTGATTGTGTGTGTCCTTAAATATTTCTTTAATTTGACGCATTCGAATGTGACTACGAAGCAGGAATTTCAAATTGTTATAAAGTTTGGAATAATAAAATGTGGAAGGTTTCGTTTTTAGATGGATAGATATGAAAAGTACAAGTAAAAATAAATACGCTAAAAAATTCACTTTCATCCCTACCGTGCACCGACGGCTTAATGGTTAGAATCTCCGACTGACACCAATTCAGTCGGGTTTCGAGCCTGGCTAGCCACACTGATGAGCTGTGAAACAGCGAAACAGTCTATCTGTTGATGACGTTATATATATATATATATATATATATATATATATATATATATATATATATATATATATATATATATAGGTAGAGATGGGTAAATCAAATAACTAAATATTGACAAACGTATATGCACGCGTTAGCGTCCCTACACATGTAAGCGAATAAATATTTACTAAATTTACTTTAAGGTGTAAACATAACAGTGCTCGATGTGGTTAGACAGATTAATTAATAAATATACATATATCTACGTTTGGTAGGTGACTTAAGTTTCGTTGTTTTACCAACTCATCAGGCACGAGGTATAACGTATAATTGAAAAAAAAATGAAATTTAGTTTTTTTAATGGCCCATATTTTCTCTATTTACACTCCAATATTATATTTGTCATATTTTAAATTTGAGCTCTGAACCTGCGTGTAATTTAGCATTCCTTTCATGAGACACAATATATTATTTTATTTTAATCAGAAGTTATATCTCATGCCTCATGAGTTGGTAAAACAACGAAACTTAAGTCGCACCCCAAACGTAGGTATATATATATATATATATATATATATATATATATATATATATATATATATATATATATATCTTTTATCAAAATACGTCACGCCCAAAAGAAAGGTTCATATATACATATTTTCGCAAATCCTTCGTTTTTGAGCTATTAAGTTTAAAGTAAGTTTACTATAGATGACGTTGTGGTGTTAAATAGACTAGATTTCATTTGTCATTCGTGTACAATTATAACTAGTCTGTCTTTAGCATGTGTAGTAGCAAGTTAACTGAGAAATGTTCAGTTTAACAATGGAAGGACATTCATATCGTGAGCGTGAAGATATGATTTGTTTTTTTTTTTTTGTTTTTTTGCATACGGCCGCGCAAATTGTAATGGACGCGAGACTGCACGATTGTATCAGATTGTGTTTCGCTAGTCAATGATCCTACGGGTATATTCGTGTGTAGAAGTAAGCGAAGGACATTTTAAAGATTTGTTATGAGTTGCTGCGATCAGATAGAACGATAGCTTTTTTATGTAGACATTTTACCTTGTTTTGGTGCCAGGGCCTCGCCCCCAAAGTTTTTAAATGTATTTTTGATACACCTTGTATTTGAGATAGATAGATAGATAGAAAAAGTACACGATTTATAGATAAATATGAAAAGAACTAAAATAGGTATGCAAGGACAATATATATATATATATATATATATATATATATATATATATATATATATATATATCCGAATGTAATGAGAAGGAAAATGATATAAATTCTAACGTTCACAGTATTAATTCAAAATAGGACTCGACTAGAGCAATAATTATTTATTAAAATTGTTACATATGGAAAAAAAATCAACTTGCTCACTACAAAGCGGCTGAATCTTGACTAGTCAGAATCAAAAAATGTTTATGAACAATTCTATTTACAAACAAGCTGCCTATGGAAAAAAAACATAGGGAAAAACACCTTAAGAAGAAACGGAAGTGTAAAGAAAAGGGAGAAAAGAGAAGGAAAGAGGGTGACAGAATAAGACTATAGTATTTATTGGTAGCAGTTTGGGCGGTGAAGGAATATTGAGGCTTTAAGACAAGATCCTGAGCCGAAAGTTTAAAAGAAAGCGGAAAGCTGTCATAAATCTAAGTAAATTAGATTTCTGATCGTTTCAAATTATCAAAAACTGTAGCGGACACCTCCGCTTTGATCTTACATTAGTTACAACTGCCTATTTGGCTGACTGGTGTTTAATCTTCAAGGTCGTACAGATAGCCATATTGAAGCAAATAGAAGACTGCAGACAGATTTTGAAGTTGGCGTACCCCTAAATATGGAGATTCATTACGGGGTTGCAAAAGGTGCAGAGAATACCAGATTCATTTTTCGAGGAATTAATTGGAGCACATCCCTCTCCCACTAAAATTTAAAAAGGCAAATGAAAGTTTTACAGATTGTTTCTTTTTTTTTCACAACGATCTCCAACTGCATATTTGACGGGAATTGCATACATATATATAATATATATATATATATATATATATATATATAAACAAATATAGTCTTAAGGTGTGCTATATTTATGGAATAAAGTGCTCAATATCAGAGATAGAGCGTGTGTAAATATAAAAGTGAACATAGAAGTCAATATTTAGAGGCGACAGTCTTTTTCATGCTATATGCAATCGTCAGGCCACATATGCTGTTATTTTTCTCGGCTATTTATATATATACGTTATTTTACCGGAAGTCGTTTATTTATTTGGGTCAAGTTATATTGCTCGTTTTTATTTTGTTTCTTATTTTATTTATTTATTTATTAACGTAGTAAAAACTTTTTATATCACTTATTTAAGAGTTTTGTTTTGGTTTGAGAATTTGATTAAAGCTATTTGTTCAAATTTGGGGTTGGTTGTTGTAGTTCGTTCTAACTATTATTTTGGCGGGAAGAGTTTTTAATTTGGGATTGGTTTGTCTATTTATTTACTTGAATGAATTTAGGTCAATTTATTTTACTTGTATATTTTCTCTTTTCGGTTTTCGGTTATATATATATATATATATATATAATAAAATAAAAAAAAAGTGAATTAAAAATAAAGTCATGTATTAAAAAATGATCTTAATAAATTACTTTCATTTGTATTTTTAAAAAACCAACGAAAAATGTTCATAGTTTGCATGTCGTAGAATTGTCTTCGCGCTAAGTAAAGTGGTGGTGAGTTGTCCTGTAGTTGAGTCGTCACTGAGATGAGTTGGTCAGTGTTGAGTCGACGCTGTTGAGTCCGTAGCGTTGAGTCGGCAGCGTTGAGTTGGTGGTGATGAGTCGGCGGCGTTGAGTTGGCGGTGATGAGTCGTCCTTCACTCTGGCCTGTGTAATCAGGCTTTCTCCCGATGGGGTGTAGATTCGACGGTAGTACTCGCCAACTCTGCAAATACCTTGCCGTGTAACGTGTCAGTTGTTCCGCAGAAAACGGATAATACATTTGTTATACAGTCGTTAATCTTGCGTTTCATCTTCGATATCTACTTGCCGCCCCCAAGTTCATTTAATGTGAGGAGCCCGATCTCATGCACCAGGGCCAGGTCCCAAATAGTCCAGCAGCCGCGACCGTCTCTCGGCCTGCTTACTCAAAAAATACTGATAAAGAAGATATGCTCTCCAACAGGGATCGTATCTTCACCCACCTTTCTTGGAGAAACAGTCGTTTGATCCAGTATGCTTTTACTGGGCTGTGACACTCTTCTATTTAAATACAATGTCAATTGTTATCCGTTCTTTTAATGCATTTTCTTTTAATGTTTTCTCATATTCTTTTACACACGCACATACACTTACTGGCTGTATTGTCTTGTTTGGGGTGAAATGATAGAAAGAATAGGTATATAATTTTTTAAAAAGATACCTTTGTTCTGTTCTCCGATTTCCTTATTGTTTTACTGTCGTTCAATAATTTTCTTAATTCGGGTTTATAAAATACGAGATAAAACTAAATAGACTTGAAAAATCATACAACAGTCTTATTTTTTAGAGCAATCGGAATTGTCTCAAGAAAAGTGGGGAGACATATAAGCAAATTAAATGTAAATGGAAGAATTCTTACTTGACCATAAAGGATAAAAAAAATGAACGTATGACAAACATTCAACACACCTACCAGGATCGTAAATCCCACAATGCTTCGCACGCTTGTCCGCCATTTGCAATTTGAAAAAGGCGCCTGCGCGGACTAGCATACCTTATTACTCTTAAATCTGTTCATTGTCTTTCACTGCCAGTAGCCTTTTGCGTCTTTGTTGTGTTATTGCACTGCTTGAGACGAATTTATTAAATTAAGGTTGAAATTCTAAACAGATATGAAGGCTACCAAATTGTAGGTAGGCAGGACTTTCGACTGGCGTTGAGGTAACTATGTCAGGACGAAGACAGACGAAAAAGACAGTTTCATCAGAGAAGGAGATGAAAAAGAAAACAACCTATGTTCGCCGTGAAACGGATGACTGTGGTTAAAATAAACTATGTTCCACCTGTTTCGATTTCTATCATTTTATTTTAATTTCTTTTCCGTTTTTTTTTGTTTTTTTTTGTTTTTTTTGTACAGTATCCCGGACAGTAGATCACGAAACGAAAGGCAAATATTTTTGAAGATAAAGGAATTTCAAACTATAGCAAAATGCAAGTGTTTCTGCTCTGAGTACAGAGGCTAGGTAAACAGACCTAAATGATAACTGAAATTAATTTACTTCCAGACCCTACCAGAACACTGAGACTACGACTGAGTTACAACTGGAGACCGTTCCTTCCTTTTTATTTATTTTTTTTTTTTTTTTGTGCCCTAGTTTCAGTAGGGGGACAAGTAACCACGTAGAAAGGGGAGATAGCTGGACGAACTGTTGACATCCGTTGTCTTCCTCTCTTCCTATCTTTCTCTCACCCCCTTCTCTCTCTCTCGCCCTCTCTCTCTACCTCCAAAAAGTGATATCTACGATGTAACTGATCCTCTTACTCTCTCTCTCATTCTTTCTCTCTCTCTCTCTCTCTCGCTTCCCCCAAAACCTGAGAACTACGATGTAACTCATCCTCTTCCTCTCATTGACTCTCTTTCGCTTCCTACAAAAACTGGTATCTACGATGTAACTCATCCTATTCCTCTCTTCTCCTCTCTCCCATTCTCTATTTCTCTCTCTCTCTCTCGCTTCCTCCAAAAAGTGATATCTACACAGAAACTCATTCTCTTCCTCTCTTTCTATCACTCCCTCTCTCTCACTCTGTCTCACTTCCTCCAAAACCTGAGAACTACGATGTAACTCTTCCTCTTTCCTTCTCTTCAAAAGGTGTAACTCATCATCTTCCTCTGTTTCTCTCTCTTCCCCTCTCTCTCTCACTCACTCTCTCTCGCTTCCTACAAAACTGATATCTACGCGGTAACTCATCCTCTTCTTCTCTTTCACTGTCTCTCGCTCTTTTTCTCATTTTCTCTCACTCTGTCTCTCTCGTTTCCTTCAAAACCTGAGAACTACGATGTAACTCATCCTCTTCCTCTCTTCCTCTTTTCCTCGCACTCTCACTCTCTCTCTCGTTTCCTCCAAAAAGTGATATCTACGATGTAATTCAAACTCTTTCTTTCTTTCTTTCTTTCTTTCTTTCTTTCTTTCTTTCTTTCGCTTCCTCCAAAATGTGATATTTATGATGTAACTCATCCTCTTCCTCTTTCCCTCTCTTTCTCATTCTCTCTCTCGCTTACTTCAAAACCTGTGAACTACGATGTAACTCATCCTCTTCTTCTCTTCTTCTCTCTCCTATTCTCTCTCTTTCTCTCTCTCTCTCGCTTCCTCCAAAAACTAATATCTACGATATAACTCATCCTGATAAAAAAAAAAAGTTTAGAAAGAAACTTGAAGAAAATTGGCTAGTGTTGATTCACTCTGTTGATGCAGCATTGGGTTTCCTACTGAGCAATTGCCGGTAGATCTCTAGAATCCAGAGACCAGAGTTAACGTAAAAACCTCTGCATTAATCCACGTGAAATCAAATTTGCTTGAATTTGTTCGGTATATAATGCATATCACACGCGAGGGTTATTTCGTTTGTCGATTCTGAAGACGTTGTCAATTAATTCGTAATACTTCAGATAAATGCAGCCATCTTTGAATACTGCGCCATAATATATTCCCATTAAAATGAGCCGCATCAGTTTTATGGCGTTCGATAGCTTTCACGAAGGACTTTTAATGGCGAAACTTAATTGATATTTTCACATTTACAGATTGATTAGTAATTCCATAGAGTTTCTTGTCCGTTTCCATTGTTACTTCGTTTGTGGGAATAAATGCTTTGGAAAGATTAGTAATCAAATCCGTTTCTCTGTAGGTCAGTGAAGATCATTATGAATGACTAACTTCCGAAGAGAGATCAATACAGTCGTCCGTCATGGTTCATTTCTTGATCCTGGTTTCATTCTGAATTGCTTTATCGATCTACGTAGACCAAATCAATAGTAAAGGGGTGCCTTTTCAAGATGATCAAAATTTTGCAGATCAGTTACCTGACTTCACTCTTGAATGATTGATTCGTTTACGGTTTATCAACGCTTTGCAGTTTATCTAAAGCCAGAAAATTCTTTTAAGCTGTAGGAATTTTTTTAGATAATGGCTTAGGAATACAAGTGTTACTTTTTAATCCATATCTGGGGAGGAGAAATGATGTGAATTCATACCTAATCAGAACTTGATAACCAACAAAAAGGAATAAAATAGAGTAGGGGTAAATTCTATATTACAATCAATATGTAAAATGATTCCTCAGTTTGTGGCTACGGTAGATTCTCTAGATTTATGTCTCAGAGAATGTAAATAAATCTAAAAGACAAGCCTGTGTAGATATTGATTGATTGAAGGATTCGTTTTTGCGGCTTATCAACTCTTTGCAGGCTATTTAAAGCCAGAAAATACTTTTACATTGTAATAAGGTATTTAGATTAACAGCATCAATCCATTTTTTTTCGCTAACGAAACTAGTTCACACATCCACCCCGGTCTTTTGGACAGAAATAGAGATTTGTCCCTTGTTTCTTGTTTACGATTTGGTCTCCAGGTTTCTTCTGAAGTACTGATTCCAAACTGATTTTGGATCATGCCCCACATTGGTATTTCTAAAATTCTGATACCCCGCGTAATATTTAATTCTTACATGTATGACAATTACACAGGTACGTACATACATAGAAAATATTTTTATATATGCATAACTGTATATGCATCGTTTGTATTAACATGTATTAACATTAACACTCTCACTCAGACTCACTAGAAAACAATTCACTGTTAATAACTCATTCTCGGATTGCTTGAGTAAATGGATGGCTGTACAAGTTTTAGAAGAAATAATAAAAAAAAAAAAAAAATTATTAAGAGCTACAAAGGACAGAAAATTGGGGAGATCCTTGATCGCCAACGTCCTGAAGAATAAAAACCTAATCTTTAGAAATGTTACGTAATAGCAATCCTTCTACATGGTAGTGAAAACTGAATAATCTCCTCCCCAATAAAGAAGAGATTTGAAGCAACAGAAATCTGGCTCTACTGAAGGATACTGAGAAAAACCATAATGAAAAAAGGCAGCTTGGAAAATGTTGAAACTTGACTAATGCATGGAATAATAATGCAACACAAAATGTACTTAGAACAAAATGTATTGAAACAAGAAAGTGTACACAATATTTACATATAGTCTTTTGTATATTCCTGGTAAGACCGTTCCTGGAGAATGTGTTGACCAGGAGGTCGGCGGGACACATCAGTCCTCTTTCTTTGCCTGAATGTCTAAGTTAAAAAGGATTATGCAGCCTAATTGCTATCCTCACTTGCTTCTTCCAAGCTCTTCATCTCGGCCGGCAGGATCTCCGGCCTTCCGTTTACTGTTTTAAATTTTTCAGAGGAATTTTTTTTTTACAGTAAGGTTCATACTGGGGAGCACTCCATGTAGAGAGTTACGTTAGATTTTAGTGATTGGGGAAACATCCTCTTGGGAGTCTGTTCCACTGAGCAGTAGTTCGCGGTCAGAAGCTGTTCAAGTGGAACTTCACGCCGATGGAATACGGGGGGAGTGTGGGTGGATTGCTACTATGTAAGTGTTGAAACTTGACTAATGCATGGAATAATAATACAACACAAAATGTACTTAGAACAAAATGTATTGAAACAAGAAAGTGTACACAATATTTACATATAGTCTTTTGTATATTCCTGGTAAGACCGTTCCTGGAGAATGTGTTGACTGAGTCGCAGTCGGGCAGAGTCTCTGGTTGAATCTCTTGATTCCTTCCTCTCTTCCCGGTACCAACCATATTTATATGGTCGGTACTCCACTATGCAAATTAGGTGGATCCTACCACAACAAAAAATATGACACTGACAGAACAGATTGAAAGTTACTGGGTCAGAAGAAAACAACTCATAACTTACCTGAGCTTGAGTAAATGGATTGCTGTACAAGTTTTAGGAGAGATAATAAAAATACAAATATTATTAAGAGCTACAAAGACAGAAAATTGGGGAGATCGCCAACGTCCTGAAGAAGAATAACGTTATCTTTTGTGTCTTTCCTTGCATACAGTAAGGGTACTAAACTATTATGTAGCATCAGCCATCCTCTATGGCAGTGAATACTGAACAAACTCCTCACAGGCGAAGTAGAGATTTGAAGCAGCAGAAATACGGTTCTACGGAAGATTGCTGAGAACATTATGAACAGAACATGTGAGCAACGACGAAGTTTTTAGAGAAAATGATAAAACAAAGGACACTTATACTAAACATTAGAAAGAAACAGTTTAAATTTAGGGAGTAATTATGAGGAAAGAGGGCTTGGAAAATTTGACACTCACAGGATAGATTGAAGGCAAGAGGGACACAGGAAAACAACGTATAACCTACCTAGTGAGCTTGGATAAATGGATGGCTGAGCAAGGTTTAAAAGAAAGAGAACATTTATTAAGAACTACAAAAGATAGAAAATTGTGGAGAGCCATGATTGCCAACGCCCTAAAGGAACATAGTACAGAAAAGAAGAAGAAGAAGTTTGAGTAAGTGGATGGCGGAACAATGTTTAGGAGAGATAAAAAAAAAAGACAAAATTTATTAAGATCTACAAAGGAGAGGAAATTTTGTAGAGCCATGATTAGCCAACGCCATGATGGAACGCGGAACAAGGAGCTTGAGTAAATGGATGACGGAACAAGGTTTAGGAGAGATAACAAAAAGACAACATTTACTATAAACTATGAAGGAGAAGAATTTGTGGAGAGCCATGATTGCCAACGCCCTGAAGGACATGACACAGAAAAGGAGAACGGGCTTGAGTAAATGAATGGCAGAACAAGGTTTAGGAGAGATATAAAAAAGACAAGGTTTATTACAAACCCCAAAGGAGAGGAAGCTGTGGAGAATCATGATCACATAGTGTCTAAAGGATCAAGGCATATACAGGAAGATTGCTGCTTATCTGTAATGTCATGTTTACCACTCTACAACTTTTTCCTAACAGACTCGACGTCATAAGCCTGTCGTTACAATGTCGTCTTTTACATTCACATGAGATTCTCTAGTCTTAAAATTTAAAAATATGATGCAATACTTATATTAACAGTAATGGTAATATTAGCTGTTTCCTTATAAGGAAATATTCAGTATTCATTGACCGAGCAGCCAGTTCTGCTTTCGGCTGAATTTATATAACTTTTCCCTTCAAGTAATTTCTCTTGCAAATATGCATTTGTCCTTACGAAATCTATCTCCGCATGAAGGATTAGGCAACGGAACAAGAATAAAGATTACTAATCTATCTGATCCCTGTAATGTAACAGACGGGATTAATAATCTATAATCAGGATTAAAGATTTTAATTCCAAGCCTCAATGTGAAAATACAAAGCCAATTTACTTTCCGTTTTACAGAGAAATCAGTTCCTTCTACCGTTTAAATTTTATCTGATATTAAACATTAAAGTTACAACGACAAACTCTCAAGAAAGTTTGAGTAACCCTTCATGAACCAGTATTTTCTCATGGATAGACGTATGGGGTTTTCTGTAGAGCGCTTCCCTTCGTGAGGTAATTATTGCAAGAAGAGATTATATCTCTCTTGTGACAAATTTAGGAGAATGAAAATAGATTTCAAAGGTGTTCACTTAAAAGCCTGCTTCAGTACTATGAACTCATGGTTAAAATGCCGAAATTTCACCATGCAATTTCCAGGAATTTTTTTTTTGTAAATTGTTCACCTAATACCAGGCAAGAGAGTTACTAGTTAGAAGGTTACTGAATAAGATTGTTGTATATAGATAGCTGTAAACCTAGATTCGAAGGGGATAATTTTATAATGGTCAGGAAGCATCATCTCGGAAGACTATTCTCTTGATGTGCGGTATTTGAGAAGAAGCTGTCCAAAATGAACTTACATTTGGGGAACGGAATATGAAGATGATGAAGATGGTTTGACTTTGTCGGCGTAGGATGGACAGTTTTACTGGAAAAGGTCTGAACAGGTTGAGCGCATTAGAATATTCTCCATGGAAATAGCGATAGAGTAGCGAGAAGCTAGCGACATTTTGTCAAGATGGCGCATTATTCATCATTATGTCTCTGCGCATGCGTCATAATAATTTATGCTTGAATGCCAGAGC